GACCAGTGAGGATTCTGTAGGAAGATGGATAGCAAGAAAGAGTGTTTGCCATTAAACATAAGCAATATAAAGAAAATGTGAATCAAACAGGCAAGGTTGTGTGCAGCATTTACTTTGTGGCTGTCTACCCTCGGAGCTAGGGGTGTGATTCCCAGCTCAAGTAGACATACTCACACTGGCTTTTATTGAGCCAGCATGCTAAATATAGTAGTGTAGCCATGGCATGGAAAGCAGCGGCACAGGCTAGCTGCCCCGAGTACAAGCCTTCCTGAACCCCCTTGGTGCATAATGGGGTGGCTAACGTGTGCTACTGCTTCCCGCTGCCTGTGCTAACACAGCTATGTTACTGTTGTTAGCACTCTAGCTCCATGAGCGCTAACAAGCAAATGTCTGCTTGAGCTGGAAATCGCACCCCTTGCTCCAAGTGTAGACATAGCTTAAAAGATGTAGCAAAAGCTCCTTGGAGAAAGGCTGATCCAAACCCCATTGTAATCAATGGGAGCGGTTCCGTTGACTTCAATGAGGCTTTGGATCAGGCCCAGGATATGTGCAAGATTAAACATAAAAAAAAACCCAAATATTTTGTTTGAGAGAAGAAACAGCCAGGAGCATCCTTGAGAAATAAAATCGCTGGGAGGGCGTAGAATGCAGATCTAGAGGAAATCCATTTTTAATATTGTTCTGAAATAAATGACAATTCTTTTACATCTGGATGATGATAAAGAGTGGTAAGAAGTGGGGAAAGGCTTTCTGCCACATTAGATAGAACAGACTGGAGCTAATGTTGTGGTTGTACGTGCTTTGCTTGAATGCTAGAAAAATGAATAATTTTAAATATTCCATGGTGCTAATGGGATCGGGGTCCCAAAAAACTGAAAAGCAGGCAGACTCTCTCTCTTTTTATAATCCAAGGGGGTGAGGGGAAGAAATCTATGAACATGAATTTAATTTGAATATTGGTTAATTTAAATAGCCAAAAATGGAAATATGTACTTCACTGATGTACATATTTTACAGATAGAGAGGTTGACGGAGAGACAACCAAATGGAAAAAATAGACAGACAGATTAGTTAAACACTGTCTGAGGCTGCAGTGTTTCTATCAGATTAAGGGTACAATTTCCAAAAGCACCTATGTGAATTAGGAGCCAAAAATCCCATTTTCAAAAATGACTTAGGGCCAGATTGTCAATAATATGTAGGCCCCTAAAGATCCCATTGGGAGTTAGCTGCCTAGGTGCTTCTGAAAATCCCACTAAGTGCCTAAAATTACATTCCTAAATCTGATCCCCAGGTTCCTTCTGGTTTTGATTATAACCCAGGATCAAAGCTTGAGGGTTACGTTCTGATACGAAGCTCTGAATATGAACCTCCATAAAATTTAGAGTGGTTCTGATTTGCCGTTCTATTTTGCCTTCTGTCTGGCCTTGGTTCAGCAAGCCATCCCTGTTCACCAAAGCACATGGTTACCTTTAAGAACATGCTTAAATCCTATTGACTTTAATGGAATTTAAGCACATACTTAATTTTAAGTGTGTGATTAATTGCTTTGCTGAGTAGGGATGGACTTAAGCAGCTGCTTTGCCAAACCAGGGCCTCCGTTAGATAGACACACAGAGTAAAGTGATTTATTTCTATGTATATTTGTATTTTGTTAGTTTAATTCTCTAGTGTGATGGCACATGATAAATCAAGCAAGTGTTTTATTCTGCCACACTGGCCATGCAATGTGGCTAACCACATCGCTCTGGTTATGTAAATAAGGCTCAGCTGCTGACTGCGATTGGTGGCAGCCATCTAGCTGATACTTGACATCCCTCTGTGAGTGATGCCAGCAATACGGAGCCCATGAAAACTGATTGTAAACTGCTTTGCATCTGGCTTCGCTAATTTTTGGACAATCACAAAAATAGTTCTGGTGTTCAAACAATAAAGGCTATGCTACAATATTCAAAGCAGCAAAGTTCTCTTTCTTCTGACCAAACCACTATGGAACTGGTTTGCAAGTCACTGACGCTGGGCTTTCAGACGGCAGGTGTCCAAATGTCACTTGTCAGCAATCTGCCTATCTCCAGCTAGCAACTCTCAGCATGCCGGCTGTAAGCAACAACTTAATTTCAAACTCAATTTACAGTGCTGCAGAGTGAGACCTTCCTGTCTCCTTGCGAACTCTCAAGCAGATTTCTTTCACATCTGTCTCTGAATGTGCCCCATGAGCTGCTTGTGCATGCCAAGTGTTTAATGGGAACCAGCAGTAAAGCCCACATGCTCCTGGCTATGCCTGGCTTTGTTTTCCACATGGAATTTACAGTACATGAGGACTTCGGAGCAGTAGTCTCTTCCAAGAAGCATGCCCACCTTTTCTGCAGTATGGCCCTACTATTACATTGTTAAAGGGGAGTTTGAAGTTCTGACTGCTGTTACAAGAGGTGGTTTGTTGTTTTTTGAAACAGCCCATTAAAGGCACCATTTTAGAACTAGTATGTGAAATACACTTTTACATTTAAAAAAAAAGACGCAAGGCAATTTTCTTATCTCACATCAAGCTAAGTGAGCAAAAGCATACACTTAACAAAGTTATATTTAGAAGCTGGTTAGTGAATATTTAACATTCTTGTCAGTGCTTAAATTTTGTGCATGTCTGTGCTGGTATTAAATACATGCAATCATGACATTTATGCCAGAGCTCAACACTCACAAATAATAAAACTGTCTCTTTTAATTGCAGTACTGCAAATCCAAGAGCTGTTTTTCAAAATCAGATGTTCTTATGATTATCTGAACTTCCCTTTGTGTTTCACTAAGTAAGGGAGAGGCCAATGATGGGAGATAACTGAAAATAACATTCAAGAAAACAGCCCTACTATTGGGGCTCTCTTGATTTGCAGTGTCTCAACCATCCACCATAGAGTCTCCTTGTGCAGGGGCCAGTGACAGGTCTGTGCATTGACTGATGTGCACAAACAAGGGCACTAACACCTCTTTTCAGTTAGGGTCTGTCTGTCCCAGTTGAGCGATCTTGTGAGCCTAGTGAGTCCCAGACTGATCATATGCAAAAAACCACTCGCCCCATAACCTTGTGACAACACAAGAGAACTGAGGCCAGAGTCCAAGCTTGGGCCCTTACTTCTGCTCTATATGGTCTGGGAACACTAGAAGCAGCACATTCATCACATGGGTGGGGGAATTACCTTAGTTTCTCTAGCAATCCTTCCAGCTGGCTCAAGGAGCACTACAAATGGGCTATTCTGTTCCACATGTAGGCCTACCACTATGATGCAGATTTAAAGCGGGAAGGGGTAACGACTGAAGGGCGATAGAGCTAATGACTGATATGGGTAACATCCCATCAAAGAATTAGTCCCTATCAGTGTTCGTCTACACTTCCTTTTTCCTCTGAACAGCGTGTAGTTGGTCCCATTCTTCACTAGAAGCTGAATAAAGTTACTAGACACAGTAGGTAAAAGAGATGCCCTTCTTCTGATAATCTGGAAGCCTGTCCTGTGTCTGTCATTGTCATGCTTCTATGTAATAGCTTAGCACTTTTCATCCAAGGATTTCAAGGTGCTTTACAGATGGAGAAACTGAGGCAGAGAGAAATGCAAGTAATTTAGCCAGTGTCAGAGCCAGAAAAGAATGTAGCTTTCCTGGCTTCCAACACAGTGCCTTATCCCCTAAACCATGTTACCTTCCACTGGAAGGCCAAAGGAGGATAACCTGTATCAAACTGATGTCTCTTTATCTTTACGATCAAGTGAGAACATCATGTTTCATTTAAAAAGAGGCCATGTCCATTTTTTTTAAAACCCCTCTTCCCGCATGATGTGCCTCTCCGAGATCTCTCAACATCAAGCCTGCCCTTTGTTCCTAATAACTGCTGTGTAGGTCTCTGCTGAAATGAAATACATGCCAGTGTAACATTCTTTATAGCACAGTGTTTACTTAGCGAGTTTATTACCTATTTTTACTGGAATAATGTGAAATGTAGGCAGTCAAATAAGCCTTTCCTGCTTCTTTTTCTTCAAGCGAGCTGAGCCAGGAAGGAGGAGTGCATCATGCATATGTTTTAATGAAATTACAGCGCTGAGATTATTTTGCTTTCTCATTGTTCATGCTGGCTGGAATTCACCCCCTTCTAGCCAACGCACGCAAAGTCTTTCATTCCTTGGATCCTCAAAGTAGTTAGGTGCAGCATGGCCCGGCAGGGGGGCCACTGCACTTCTGCATGCAGAGTCTCCACCAGTTTGGACTGAGCTGGCGCAGAAGGAAACATTAAGTGTGCGCTGAGGGAGGGGACCAGTGGTTCAGCATTTACAGGGGTCAAGTGGCTTGGAAACCACCTGTGGGTTCTTCTAGCCCATCCGCTGAATTAGCAGCTGGGATGGGTCACACGCTGCAGTTTATTCAGGATTTCTGCACAGAGTGGCTCAATCTGTTCCTGATGAAGGTAGCAGCAAAGTACCTATTGGTTTCCGTGGGATTTGACCAGCAGTGACCCATGAGCCATGGCATACACCCAGAGTCTTTCCCAGTGTCCCATAATTATAGATACAACTATGAAAAATTAATTCTGGGCTGATATAGTGGGAGGATTCCCAGTGTTCAATAGCTCTGACACCTCGTTGCTTGCAGCTAAACTTTTCCCGATGCGTCAGGATACAGCACAAACCTAGTTGTGTTCCAGGCAGTGTAAAAATTCTTTTTTAGGTTACTGTATAGTCTCTTTTAAAAGTGGAGAAACTGGACACAGTTAACAGCAGCTGTTACTTTAGGGCCTACCAAAGTGACCCAAACAAACCCCACAAATCCTACATCCTCTGTAGAGGATTTCTCCGTCAGACTTTGTGACTCTTGTGCTCTGGGCTTCCCCAGCCTTGAGGTGCCTGCCAACAGATTTTGTGGACTCGGGTGCTTAGTTCATTACCCCCACCAGCAATAAGAGTCAGCTGGTATATGCGGTGTTTGCAGAATAAACATGGAAATGCATCTTGTTCCCTTAGGGAGAGCAACCTACCTTCACATAGGAGAAGTGATCGACGGAGTGGACATGAGGGCGGAAGTAGGGCTGCTAAGCCAAAACATAGTGGTGATGGGAGAGATGGAGAGGCAATGCTATGACTATAGCAATGGTTTATGCACCTTCTTTGATTTTGACACCTTTGGGGGACACATCAAGGTATTGTATAAGTCCTTTACTGATACTCTTCTACACAGAACCAAACAACATGCACCTAGTAAGGGGGCCATGACATGGCAGGGAATGTCCTGTGAGTGGAGGCCTGCAACATAAACAAGCCCTTCCTAGAGTAGACCATAGATTCAACTCCTGCTTCTCTTTTCTTTGCAGGGCTCACCACACCCCTTCAAACATTACCTTGCCAGACTGGCTGGGGCTCAGCACTCACAGGTTGCAGAGTTTGGATGCAAAATCCAACTTCCCCAGGGTTTGGTGGTGCTCAGATCTGGGGCTTCCATTCAAACCCATCTCCCCTTAAATCTATCACAATTGCTTTATGAAAAGCATTACATGCAAACAGGTTTGCCAGAGTTTGCAAACTAGGAAGCATCTGCTGTGCAATGGTTTATGATTACTCCAAATTCTACCCCTGCTATCAACCATCATTGTCTAAGACTTGCTCTGCCTGACTAATATGAAACAGAGAGACCAGGGGGGTGAGGTAATATTTTTTATTGGACCAACTTCCACTGGGGAGAGTGACAAACTTTCGAGCTTACACAGTGCTTGAAGAAAAGGTCTGTGTAAGCTCGAAAGCTTGTCTCTCTCCCCAGTGGAAGAGTTGGTCAGAAGTTGGTCCTATAAATGATATTACCTCACCACCACCACCCCCTTGTCTCTCTAGTATCCTGGGACAGACACAGCTACAACAACACTGCATGCAACAGCGAATAATATGAAACAAGCTGCCAGATGTTCCTACTGACACTTGACTGGTGTTTTATTTGTTCTGCAGATTGGTCTTGGTTTTAAAGCTGCCCATATTGAAGGTTTAGAATTGAAACATATGGGCCAGCAGAGAATGGGACACTATCCAATTCACTTCCACTTGGCTGGAGATGTGGATGAGAAGGGAGGCTACCACCCTCCATCCTATGTGAAGGGCGTCTCCATTCACCACACCTTCTCGCGCTGTGTCACAGTCCACGGCTCCAATGGCTTGCTGGTAAGAAACAGCGGTTTGATGACTGCCTTCCTGATCAAGATGTCATTTGATTCCCAGCCCAATTGCTGTCCCTAATAACATGAAAATGATACTCAGGCCCCTGAAACAAGTCTCATTACTGATAGAATTGTAGAGTTAAACCAAATGCTCTTCTCTTTTGCCCTGGATTTATTGAGTGATATTAATATGAATATATTTCAACATGTGTCTAAAACACAAAACCAACATAAGAATGTAAAACCAGGGGCCAAATTTTATACATGACTCAGAGCTGACAGGGCTTTCAAATGCCATTGTATTCAGAGATTCCTGCAGACAATCCCATCTACAACGGGTTGTTGAATCTATCTATAAACAAATAGTTTACTGTTAAAGAAGGTAATCACCAGATCTAAGGTTACTTTAATTTGCTAATAAGGATTTTTGTTTGAAATTCCCATTCACAACGTAAGCAGTCAGAGACCTCTGATTTAACAGAGCTGTTTGTCAGAACACTAAGGTGATCCTGTAGGTTTCCTATAGTACAACATCTATTTATCAGGTAAGTTACAGCACAGGAGAGTGCATGTAATGACCACTGCAGCAGCAGCAGCAAACTCCCTGCACCTCTGGGCAATCACTCTACTTCAGAGTAAAGAACACAATGAAAAACATTCTCACAAGACTCCATCAGTGCTGCTTTCCTGGGGCATGAACAGTACAGGGACTGGAGTTGAGTTTAATTCAAAAAGGCTTTGATCAGCAAATGCACACCTTCTGTATCACTGTTATGCTAGCTCTAAGGGCTTTGTCATGGAGCACTGTTTGTCGTCTTAGTGCCTTCTCAAATAGAAGCAGGTTCTGTTGATCACATTTAGTGTGTTCCTTAACTTTAACTTTATGTTGTTTTTAAGATTATTTTGAAAGCCGCGCACGTTAGAAATTAGAGCTAGGACCCCATGTCCGTCCACCCAACTGCTTGTGGATATCTAGGCCCAAGGCCAAAAAGTACACTTTGGCTGTTAGTACTGAAACCATATAACCAACCACCATATACATTCATTTTGTGAATGTGTGAGAGAGAAACCTTGGCCCCACATTCAGAAAAGGTTCAGAAATGTGTTTTGAAAGCAGAGCTTTTAAAGGCATGTAACAAACATCAGAACTGACTTCTCAGCTTTTCCCAAGCATCAATCCAAAACAGTGGCCTCAACATGCCTGTTAGTTCCTCGGGAATCCCACATTTTTCCTGTGTTGGCACCACATGTGAAAAAAAGAATCCGAGCTAATATACAAAAGTGTTTTTAACAGGTCTCTAACCAGCCAAGATCTCAACCCTGGGCATAAGAGATCAGTGTTTTAACATGAGACCACCAGCATGCCATGCCACTGGCTGTTTCAAATGATGGTCATTGAGCACTAGGAATTCTCCTAGTATATCACTGGTATTTTAAAAACACCTGCACTAACTTTTCATTGAACCATTGTAAGAGCTAGCACTGTTCAGGCTCAACATTTTTCATCCCTCATTTTGTTTTCAACAGGATCCTAAAATCTGCTGTAGACTTGGTTTCTGAAAAATCTGTTCTACTTTACCTTATCTACATTTTATTAGACATCCAAGGTGTATAGCTGCTTTCCAATTTAAAGCCATCCATGTAGCAGCACTAAGAATGTAACTAACACACAGCCTGGAAGAAGAGAATTGCCAGGAGTCTGTTTGTCAAGTAATGAGAAGGTTCCTAATAATGGCACCATAAACACATCCTCTAGCTATGTGGCAGTTACACAGCTGTTGATTAGCAGAGGGATGACTAAAACCTCAGCTCTGATTCTAATTTTAAACCCTGTGTCTCTATTGACTGATGCTTGTTCTCACTGCCAAACCAAATACCCAGAGAGTGGCATTTCACGGGTCAGCTGGGTGGATTTATATTGGGTATTTGGAAATTTTCAGTCCCTTGTGCCTTTTCCAAATAAAAACCATATCATTGTGACTAGGAAATACTGTAAGGATCCCTGTTCTCAGGCTTTTCTAGCCAAGACAGCAATGATGAAATGCAGACAGGCTGATGTGATTGAAGAAAACTGCTTAATTCTGGGGTTGTTACTCAACAACTGTGATTCTTTGAGGGGCCTTGGCGTTTGATCCATGGCAAGTTATTTAAAGGAAACCTCCACTAAAAGAGAAATGCAACTATACAAAAAACCTACATTGATCATTTAATCTGTTTATTGTTTTACTTTTAAAAATGTATAATTTACTAATCTACACTCATTACCTCCAAAAAATTGATTTTGCACATTTTATTTCAGCTGCATGTTTGTTGCCCTCTGTTGAAATGAAATGCCCAGTGAAAGAAATCCCATGCTGTGCAGTCTAGCTGTTTGTCCCGTTGCAGCACAAAAGAGGATTTCTAAAAGTTTGATAAACTACACCGATGTAGTTCATTGAATGCATTTTTAATTGAAATCTCATTACCCTATAATTGGACGTATGCCCCGAGCAATTCCTCCTCAGCTGATCCTGCAGCGCTCTCTTCTGCTATGAAATCTAGTTTTGTTTCCCCTGGAGATACTACCTGAAGTCACAAAAACACAGCCAAATCTCCAACGAGGAAAGTACCGTTGTTATTACCTGCACTTCTAAGATGGTCTTCACTGTAGTATCTGGGCACCATTTATTTAAGTTAGCTAAGTTATAGAAGAGAAAATCAGGAAACAGTAATCTCCTGCCCGCTTCTCCTCACATATCATTCACTGCCTCTGTGAACAGATAGATCCAAGGCATAACCTGACAGGAGACCAGTTGCCTTGGTGATCTTTGAGTGAACTAGTCTCTCAGTAGACACACACACAAAATTTGCTGGAATATTAGGCCTCAAACCAGCAAAGCACTTGATCAGATGATTACATTTAGCTATGTGAGTGGTCCCATTGACTTCCAGTATTTCCATTGGTTTCAATGGGACAGCTCACCGGCCTAGAGTTACGGGCTTGCTTAATGCTTTGGTGAATGAGGGGGGAGGCACTTGGGTATTTTGTAACAGTTAAGTCATTGTTAAAGCAGCTTGGAAATTTCCATGCAGACTCTTCACTGGGCTCTCAGGTTACTAGTGTCACAAATTATTTTGCTTTTAGCACCCTTGGCAGCAGGCTCAGAAATGTCAACGCTATAAAAGATTAGAAAGAAAAAATAAACACATGTCACTGTTTGCTCCTGGTGGCAGAGTCCTCTTCCTGTGCATTTACACACTGATGCTGAACGCCTGTCGCTGGACAATCAATAAATAGCTGTGGCTGGCTCGAACCTAACCTGTTCTACGCTTGTCCACAAGCATATGTTCACTTTAAGGGCAGGGATGGCCTTTCTCAAACCGAACGGGTTGAAATGGCCTTGTTGCCGTAATTACGTAATTGAAACTGTCCAGGATTGCTGCAATACGCTGGCCAACTTTCCCTCTCCATTATACCACTGCAACCCCATTGATCAAATTCTGCTGTTACTTACACCCTGGTCAGAGCCACTGAACTGGCCCATAGGGTGCAGGCTGAAATGGAAGCTGTTATCAAGGATGCACATGAAATGAAGCCTGATAAACTGTCTGGCAGAACTCGAGAGAGCTGTGCTACTGGGGATAAGCAGGAGTGTTATCTAACTGCTACAGTGATATCTGCTCTCAGTAATCCAACTGAGCTACATGGCAATTGCTTTATTTAAAAGGGCACTGTCAAATCTAGCCATAAATTACACTTAAAATAAGCGTATAGACTAATTGTAAGGTTTTTGTGAAATTTAATTCCCCCCCCCATTGCATCTTTTTAACAAACAAACCTTGTCCAGCAGTTCCCAAACTTTTCAGCACTGTGCTAGTGCATGAGAATCCGAAAATGAAACCGTTCCATATTTGTCAGTTTCCAGGCTGAGTCATCCCAGGGCCAGAAATAGGAAAAGTAATGAATCAAGTAAAGGGTGACAAGTAAATCAGCTGGTGTAAATCAGTGTAGCTGCTTTGACTTCAGTGGAGCTATTCTGACTTACACCAGCTGAGGATCTGGCCCAGAGCCGCAATCCCACATTAGGATATCTGCCAAAGGAGATGACACAGTACAGCATTCCAGCCTATGCCAATATATTGGCTTCCCTCTTACAATACTAGCAGATGTTTACCTCTGCAATGGTACTGAACCTATACAGGTTTCAGAGGGGTAGCCATGTTAGTCTGCATCAGCAAAAACCACGAGAAGTCCTTGTGGCACCTTAGAGACAAACAAATTTTTAGTCTCTAAGGTGCCCCAAAGACTCCTCGTTGTTTTTGCTGAACCTATACAGGGATTTGTTGTTCCCTAGCCATGTTCTAAGTAATACGTCCCTTTTTCACTTTTCTGTCCTAATGTATTACACCAATATAGATCTAGTTCCAGAGTTCACTGGTGTGATGAATTGGTGTAGCAGGTACCTGAGGAATTGTTTGAGAAGTCACTTGTCAGCTTTCAGCAGCTAAACACTCCAGAAACACCATATATGTGTCTCTAAAGTGTTGCCAGTGTACTCAGGAAAGATAATAGATTTACACAGCTGGTCAGTTGCAGTTTTGGCATCCCTGTGACTAAAGGCCTTGCTGATGTAAAGGTATGGTGATACTCCTCTTGAAGATAGTTAATTTTCCTGAAATGTTCTAGTATCCAATAGGTGTTTCTAATTGCAAGGCTGGCAAATTTCATGCTTTCCAAGATGGGATTATTAAAATGGCGCAGCACACTCATTTGACACTGAAATACTGGTGGTGGTAGACTTGCTTGGCTATCTAATTGAATCGAGAGAGTTAGCAGCAAATTTCGGAGAAGTCATTTAACAGAATGTATTACACTGCATGTAATTTTAACAGTCTTTAATTTACTGTGATGATTTGTGTTCAGAGGTTTGAATATTTACACTGGACCATGGGCTATGCATAATACATGTGTTTGCACATGACAGTGTGCAATAGATCTGGCAGGCAAAGTATTCTGTCTGAGTGTCTCTATTTAACCATTTCAAGTTCAGCCCTGGAAGTTGGTTCCCCTTGGCTGAAAGCTCTGAGATAAAGACCAGAAAACACTTCAAAAGTGCCTACGTCCATTTTCAAAAGTGACCTAGGTATTTAGGAGCCCAAGTCTCATTTAAAGTCAATGGAACTTGGACTGTCAAGAGCTTCAATCAGTTCTGAAAATGGGTCTTCGGTAGAGCTGGTTGCAAAGTTTTCAACAAAACTTCTTCCTACTGGAAAAGCTGTTTTGTCTAAACCAGTGGTTCTCAAACTGGGGCCGCCGCTTGTTCAGGGAAAGCCCCTGGCGGGCTGGGGCAATTTGTTTACCTGCCGGGTCCGCAGGTCCGGCCGATCGCAGCTCCCACTGGCCATGGTTCGCCACTCCAGGCCAATGGGGACTGCGGGAAGCGGCGCAGCCCGAGGGACGTACTGACCACCCTTCCTGCAGCCCCCAATGGCCTGGAGTGGCGAACCATGGCCAGTGGGAGCCGCAGTTGGCTGAACCTGTGGACCCGGCAGGTAAACAAACCAGCCTGGCCCGCCAGGGGCTTTCCCTACGCAAGCAGTAGCCCAAGTTTGAGAACCACTGGTCTAAACCAAACTGTTTAGTGGAAATGTCTTGGTTTCCACCCAAACCTCACCAGGAAGATCTGGCTGGAGATGGCAACCCCAGAATAATCAGTAGCCCAGAGGTTAGGGTGCTCACCTGGGATGTGGGAGAGCCATGTTCAAGTACCTGCTCTGAATCTGGCAAAGCAGAGACTTGAGCCTGAGTCTCCCATTCCATGCTCCAGCGTTCATTTCAGTGTCTCCTGTTTGAGCTGTTCCACTTTGTATAGACACATGAGTATTCATTGGACCAGGGAGAGGGGGTACCAGGCAGAGCAGTGAATTGACTTTGGATCTCCCACATCCCATGGGAGTTTTCTAATCCTCTGCTAGTTCTGGAGATCTCTTGCTCTCTCCCACTGTTCACAAAGAACTTGGAAAGGTCTCAAGTTTGTTCCACATCAGAACAAAAGCCATTTCTGAAACCTCAATGTTTTCCATGAAATGGAAATATTGTTTTCCACCCAGCCCTGGTTTTAGGCTCCTAAATCATTTAGTTATTTCTGAAAATTTTACCTCAGATCTTCAACTGGGGTAAATCAGCACAGCTCTGTGAGAGACAATAGGGCTGCAGTGTGAACTACATGTGAACTGCAGGGTTTTCAATGGAGCTACACTGATTAACACCAGCTGGTTTGTTTCAATTTCAAGTAAAGCTCTTGTCATCAGTTGGAAAAAGGGTCAGGTCAGACCTAAAACAACTCAGCCTGTCCAGTAAACAACTAGCAGCATCTCTGATAGTCTGGAAAAATTTTTTTTTTTCACTTCAGGGGATACATTTTAGTGCATCAACCTCGCTGTTTGTGTAACTGCGCACAAAAGTGAATGAGCCCAGATGGGGCTTAAACATCTGATGTCCCCCCCATTCCCGTCTCTTCGTCTTCTCAAGCTATTTGTCTTTTATTATAATATTATCACTTGCTCGACATGCAGATTACAGCAGAGTGTAATTAGCATTTCATATGAAATGGCAAATTCTTTTTAAATCTTAAAAGCTTACACTATCACTTAGTATGTAAATTCGTTGGGACAAGGACCATCTTTATGCTCAATGTGTTTGTACAGCTCCTGATACAATAGGGTCCTGGTCTCTGACTGAGGATCCACAGTAAAATAATAATAATTAATAGCATTATTATTATTTATTATTATCTCTAAGTGGCTGGAAAACCAAATCTGAATGCAGCTCCATTTTTGTACATGCAGATTAAGGACGTTGTGGGCTACAACACCCTGGGACACTGCTTCTTTACTGAGGATGGGCCAGAGGAACGCAACACATTTGATCACTGCCTTGGACTGCTTGTTAAACCTAGCACTCTCCTGCCATCTGACCGAGACAGTAAAATGTGCAAGACGATTACAGAAGGGGCATACCCAGGGTACATCCCCAAACCCAGGCAGGATTGCAAGTAAGTGGAAATCTTTTTTGTTTGTTTGTTTTTCCCTCGCCTTGTAGGATTTGACTTTTTTTATCCATGAAACACAGGATTGGGTGTATATAGTTAAGTATTCTGCTTTCAGCAATATGGGTCGTGTGCTCCAAAAGATAGGGTGGCTGTCTCTGCAGGATGTTTCCATGCTATTTATACATTTACACATGCAGGGTATAATTTTGCTTAGTATTTTTAGTGTAAGGTCAACTAAAGTGCTTGTTATCGCAGATATTCTTGCATGCATCCCTTTCAAAGTGCAATATGAAGACAAATGGCCCTGATTCTGCATTGCCTTGCATCTCATTTACATCCCCATTATGTGGGTATAAAATGCTATTAAATTCAGAAAGGGACAGACTCTGCCACCTTTATTCATACTGAATTGTACTTTATTCTGCAACTAGTCCCATTGATTACAGTGGAATTCCTTGTGGAGTAAGAGTATTACTCAGTGTAAGGAAGGGTGGAAGAATCTGTCCCAACAGTCATATTTTGCATCCACTTGGCATATACTGTACAGGGAGTAAACTCAAACCAAAGAGTTGAATTCAATGTAGTTCAGCAAGACCTTGGAACGTGGCTATGGAATTTCAAAGGTTGCCTAAGCATAGAGTCCCTGCTACTAATCACTATATAAGTGAGTGCATGAAAGTTCTTAAAGCTCATTTCTATTTGAGGCAAACTCCAAGCCCAGCCTGGCAAACCGCTGAGTGCCTCCTAGAAGGTGTTAAGCAACCTCATCTCCCATCTTGCAAGATCCAATCTTCTAATCTGTCTATTCACAAAACCTCAACAGGGCTGATTTATGGGACAGATCTCGGTAGTGGTTGAAATGAAAAGCATTTTAGCCAGAGTTCTTTTTGCACTTTATCCCATTACTCTGTAAAGACCGACTTAGATGAAGTATAGGAGAAACATGGCCAGAATGGCTGCCCTCTCCGTCTAAGAACCCCCACAATCAATGCACGCATTCTGGAGCTAGGGTTTCACTGGTAACTATGGCTAGCTAACAGCAAGTTTTAGGCTTTGTAACATCCGAGAGCTAACTCTTTTTTTCCCCAGCTTCTTATTGAATTTTTAAAATTATGGGGCCAGATTCTGTCCATTTTTACATATGTTGCCTTGTACCTTACTCTGTGAATAGTCCTCTTGATTTCGGTGGGAGTATTCAGTCTAAGGATGGTTATGAGAATCTGGCCATGGACTGAGAAGCCAGTGGGGGATGGTAGTGAACCACAGTAGCATGTGGAAAGAGCAGATGCTAGGGGATTGCTATGAAAAGCCCATAGAAACTCTTTGTCAAAACCCTGGCTAAACCAGTCTCCAGGGAACCTGGAGCCCCATTGTAGGGCTTTTCTTGTCTATGACTTGTGCAATGACACATTTACCTTATCGTGAAATATAATTGACAGCTAACAGCTTCATACCAGGGTTGGGATTTCAGTAAAAATGCCTCATTTAATTCCTGAGGTCTTTAAAGATAAGGCCATTTTGCTGCATCTGCAGATGATGGTGACAGCTGTGATATGATGAGAGAGAAAGAAGCCCCAGTTGCTACACCCTCTAGGCAGTAGCTTATCTGCTTTATGATCTGACCTGCCTGTACTGTATGCAATGGAATGCTAACTCCTCTGTGTGTGCTTCGGGGGTCATTTTCATGCTCTTCTTTGTTCCTGATCTGCAGTGCTGTATCCACCTTCTGGATGGCCAATCCGCATAACAACCTTATAAACTGTGCAGCTGCAGGATCCGAAGTGAGTACAAAAGTTTCTTATTTGGGAAAATTCAGAACAACTGCAAAAGCCCTGCAACTTTTGGGTCTCACTGTTTCCACTGCTCAGGCATTTCTAAAAGCCATATATTGATGCAGCTAGTGCTACAAATGCAATCTCCTTTGCCTTCACCTGCCCATTTCTGGTCATTTGCTGAAGTTAGGGATTGCAGATCTGGATTGCTTTTAACAAAATTCCCAAACCGGAGCCTGTATAAATTAAAGACCCAACCCTCCTACTCCCATTAAGTCAATGGCAAAGCTCCTATTGACCACAATGGGAACAGGCTCAGTCCTAAACCAGTACATGAATGGTATGTAGGGCTGTGACATTTAAATCCATGCTAATGCTAATTCTGCAGAAACTCTAACTCAGCTCAATTGTCTTTGTTTGTTTATTTTTAATTGAAAAAATAAACAAACTAAAGTATTTGGCCCAAAGTTTCCAAACCTCCATGCTTAAATGTAGGCACCTAGATCAATTTTGGGTACCTAAATAAGTGGCCTGATTTTTCAAAGGGCTGAGCACCTAGGGTGACCAGATGTCCCGATTTTATAGGGACAGTCCCGATTTTTGGGTCTTTTTCTTATATAGGCTCCTATTACCCCCCACCCCTCTGTCCCAATTTTTCACATGTGCTGTCTGGTCACCCTATGAGCACCTGAAGCTCTCATTGACGTAAGTAGGGTTTGTGGGTGCTCGGCACCTCTGAAAATCAGGCCACTTTACATTTAGGTGCTTCAGTATGGATGCTGGAGGCTAATTTTAGGTGGCCTGAAAATGCTGGCCATAACTGCTTTCGTGTGTGTGGTGGGGGGGGGGGGGCGGGGGGAGTGTCTTTTGCATGTAGTTACAGAGCAATACCACCTACTGTTATGTGTCCTGAAATCTGCTAGCTTTCACCTTGCACTATTTCCTGGTAAGCCCCTGTACTAATGTAAATCTGTAAAGTTCAAGTGAAGGCTCATGCTGTGTATTCCCTTTTGCAGGAAACAGGCTTTTGGTTTGTTTTTCACCATGTGCCTACGGGCCCCTCGGAAGGAATGTATTCTCCAGGCTACACTGAGCACATTCCAATGGGAAAATTCTATAACAATCGGGCACATTCCAACTACCGAGTGAGTCTGCACGCAATGAAAACTATCTTCATGTCTAAAAACACCACTCGATTTCTCCAGCTTTCTGAGCCTGCAAGCTATTAAGCCCTGTGATTTCTGATTCACTGCAAGCAATTGCAAACTCATTTTCAGCATTTGTATCTACAAACCAAGTGGCTTGTTTGCTGGTATAATAGAATTACAGACTCTGTTTACATTGGATTCACTTTACTATTCTTGGGCTAAAGGCTAAACTTTCTCATGGGACGTTGGGAGATAAGAGGGTCTTACTTTCACTCCTTTCCACCAGGTCATCTGTCTGCTTTTGCTCTTCTAAAATGGTGCCGCTAGCTGCATCTTTTGGCAGCTTGCCTGATTATAGATCATTGCTGCCAATGTTAGCCATTGATCAATAGCATCTGGTAGACAAAATAATATAAGCTCAGTCTAATCACTTCCTAAATCTCTTTACTTATTCAGCCCAGACATACTACCCTGGGAAACTGTACACTGACCTTCTGAGCCTTCATCTGTTACTTAATGTCTTTAGATTGCAGCACGTATTTAATTGGCTAATGAGATGGGTTGAACAGGTGCTGGAAAACCCAAGGGGCTTTTTAAGGGGCTGCAGTCAGAAGGTGGTAGAGTGGACAGTCCTCCTGTTTCTCATGCCACTTGCAGAAACAGTAACCTTGAAAGTGGTCCATGCTGAAATGATGCATTATAGGACACAGCGAGTGGCTGATGCTATGACACAATTCTCAGATGCACATCTTCTAGGAGCAGCACTTCTGGGCAGGATTTCACAGCCAGGTTGCTTGAGTATCAATGGGAATGGATTTTTACTTGGCCAGGGGCTGGTATTTCAATTCATCTTCAACTGGAGTGGTAACCATTCTAATAAAATACAAATAATTTTCTGGAGAGCCATGTTGTTAGCTAAAGATTCCCCAAAAGCATAAGGCACCTACCCAAGTCAGAGAGAGCTAGTGACTTTAAAAAGAGTGATGTTTTGCTTAAGTGATCAGGACAAATTTAACAAAAATTCTGGTCCTTCTCAGAAATCTTTGCCTTGTACTTTAAATGTTGCACCATCTTTCACTGGTGTTGGTCTAGGTGGTGTTTAAATGTAGAAGGCCAGATCCTCAACTGGTGTAAATCAGGATAATGCCTTTGACTTAAAAAATAAAAAGCCTTGGTGTTTTACACCAGCTTGAAGATTTGGCCCAGAAACTTAAAATGACATCATAATTTTACAGTGTATAAATACATCACAAAGTTCCTTTTCCTCCCCAGGCTGGCATGATCATTGATAATGGAGTCAAAACCACACCAGCATCTGCTAAGGACAAAAGACCTTTCCTGACACTGATTTCTGGGAGGTAATGCATTGTCCATGGTTTGATTTAGAAAGTTATGTGTATAACGCAGTTTGAGGGTTGGATCCTGCTCCCCCTGAAGTCAATGGGGAATTTCTTCATTGTTGTCAGTAGGTGTTGTATAATTTTCCTAATGAGCAAAAGGCTTCGCTTTCTCCTTGCCGTCGATGGGGTGTGGCCTACCTGTACCATTTCAGTCTGACACTCTCCATGAATCTCATTGGTGGGTTTGGTACTTCCCACACAGACAGGTACAACCACAGTAGTTGATTTTACAAGATAGCTGGTGAGGAGTGTAAGCTCAGTCCAATAGGGTGATTGTTCTAAAACCCCTGACAATACCTCAGAATTCTACCGGGAACTGTTCTACACTAGAAAGTTACGTCAACCGAATTACGTCGCTCAGGGATGTGAAAAAGTCATGGCCCTTGAGAGAGAGAGAGAGAGAGAGAGAGTTAAGCTCACCTAAACCCCAGTGTATACAGTGCTAGGTCTACAGAATAATTCTTGGTCAACCTAACTACTGCCTCTCAGAGAGGTGGATTTACTATAGCGACAGAAGAACCCCTTCCATTGCTGCAGTAAGCATCTACAGCAGAGAGTTTGATGTTGCCTCTTCATATACCAGAATATGTGCCTTGGAAAACTGGCTATGGCATATATGCACAGTAGCTGATTCCAAAAAGTTTGTGCCTTCCAATTTGAAGGCTGGAATGAGCCCTAAAAGCTTAGCAATTAAAGAGTGTTGCTGAATGACAGTCAGACTTCCTGGGGCAGATTCTGTGTTCCGTAGAACTGTTGTAAATTGAGAATAACTCCATAGACTTCATATTCTGCTTTCAGTTAGAGAAGTATAAATCCATGCTAACTCCCACTTCCAAGAGAGTTATTCCAGACATACACTGGTGTAAATGAGACAGAATCCATCCCAAAGAGAATGTTTGTTAGTGTCCAGTGAATTCACCAGGATCTGTGCTTTCACCGTGAATACCAAGTGACTTCATAATGATGAAGCTGGCAAAGTGATGTTCATTTGCTGGAATCTTATGATCATTATGCTCAATTTAGGTTGATGTGATGGCTTATTAAGTGAAATAAAATGCTGTTGAAAATCTGTTAATGATTTGACAGCCTGGCCTCACTCGACATTTCTGACCCATGAATTTTAATCTTGGTTCTGCCCATTGCTGGCACTGACGTGGATGCCAGTTTGTCAGGTTTTTCTAAACTGCATTGTATTTGACAGAAGACATTTAGGGCTTGTCTACATTACCCACTGGATCTACGGGCAGTGATCGATCCAGCGGGGGTCAATTTATCGTGTCTAGTCTAGACACGATAAATCGACCGCCGAGCACTCTCCTGTCAACTCCGGTACTCCACCAGGGCAAGAGGTGCAGGCAAAGTCGACGGGAGAGCGTAAGTTGATCTAAGTACGTCGACTTCAGCTACATTATTCACGTAGCTGAAGTTGTGTAACTTAAATAGATACCCACCCCCAGTGTAGACCAGGCCTTAGTAATGATAAGGATAGCTGCCCCCGAAGAGCAGGAATAAATGACACCCCAACATGCAGTGTAGTTGTAGCCGTGTCGGTCCCAGGATATTAGAGAGACAAGGTGGTTGAGGTAATATCTTTTATTGGACCAACTTCTGTTGGTGAGAGAGACGAGCTTTCCATTTATCTCTGCCTTTTTCCTTCATGACTCACCAGACCATCATTTCATCATATGTGAGAGCCTGCGAGCTAATAAATCTCATTATTAGTGGCCTGGGTGACATAAGGTAGGGGCAGCAAAGAAGATGTCATCATGGTCTCCTCAAAATGCTTTCACTTTTATACCATCTTTGCTTTTCCACACAATGCGCAGTTAGCCTGTGGAACTCACTGCCACAATATATCCATGTGGCCAAGAGTTGAGCAGGATTAAAAGAAAAGAATTGGACATTTGTATAGATAGTAAGAATCCTAGTAGGGAGGATTTTAAATAACCCCAAGAGTTTTAGAAAGGATACAGTGTCATGCTTCGGGACATAAACTAACATTTAACTAAAGGAAGAAACTGGGGGGAGGGATAGCTCAGTGGTTTGAGCATTGGCCTGCTAAACCCAGGGTTGTGAGTTCAATCCTTGAGGGGGCCACTTGGGGATCTAGGGCAAAATCAGTACTTGGTCCTGCTAGTGAAGGCAGGGGGCTGGACTCAATGACCTTTCAAGGTCCCTTCCAGTTCTAGGAGATGGGATATCTCCATTAATTTTTTTTTTTTTTCCTGGGACGGGTTATTTCACGACTGACTATTGGAGCTTTTCTCGCCAATTCCTGGTAGCTGGTACTGGCCACTGTCAGAGAGAGGCTACCGGACTGGATGGTCCATAGGTCTGATCCAGCCTGGCAATTCCTGTGTTTAGCAGAAATAATCCCACCAAATGTTTAACAAGTCAATACAGCCGTCGAATCTCACTGGGGTAGACTGCCTTCCACTGACAACAGTTTCTGCTCTTCTTGTGTTTACAGATATAGTCCACACAAAGATGCTGACCCTTTGAAGCCTAGGGAACCTGCGATAATTGAGCACTTTATTGCGTACAAGAACCAGGAACATGGGGCCTGGCTGAGGGGTGGAGACGTATGGCTGGATGACTGCCAGTGAGTTTTGCCTTATTTCAACCCTAGGAGTTCAACTCCGTGTTTATGGCAAGCATAGTTGTGGTTAGACTATTTATATCGCTTTGCACCTTGCATATGGTCATGATTAAAATAAAAATGAAACATTCAGAAAACACAGGCATTATTTTACACAAACAAAACCTGTTTTGTCCGAAGTGAAGAGTCTGCTGAATTGTTTTTGAGTGTGATTTTGTACAGATTTTCAAAGCAGCAGCAAAAATTGGCTCAAATAAACCATTCTATATGAAAAATGAAGTGCTTAAAATAAACAAAATAAATCATAAGCCTGACCAGCCTCCCCGGCTAAGCTTGGGTCATGGTTCAGTTTTATGTGGTTCAGCGTTGTGCTGAATAAGCCAGTACCAAGGAAGCAGACACAAAACTATGCATCACGATAGGGAGGGAGAGGAATTGGGAAAATGCACATTGTACGCCCTTTGAAAGCAGTTTCCTGTGCTGCTCAGGACAGACTCTCTTTGCACTTGGGAACGGATGATCTTCTTCAGTTTCCGCTTCTGATCCAGTATCTTGATAGCAACCTCAATTAACCAAGGCAAAAAAGTAAAAAGCTAGTTTACAGGGTACATTGCACTACACTCGTACAATTGTCTGCCCGTATGCGGTATCCAGTTGCCTGCAAAAACTGCCTTACCTTAGAATAATCCAAGCCTTTTAAAGAGACCACTGGCTATAAACTGGCCTTAGTGACTCCATGAGACCAGCAAGAATTAAAGTAGGTCAGAATGGACAGAAATATAATATCAAGTCTTCTTATTTGTCCTTCTTATGGACTATGTTAGCCAAAAATGTTTATCATTCCTGCCTTTTCAGATTAGTTGCATGTTATTTTGACATTTGCATTCTTTACTGAAATAGCATAGTTTCTAAATACTGCACGAGTTTCTCCATCTTATCAGTTTTTGGCAGTGTCCTTTGGAGTGCATCTGAGGCTGCAGCCATAATCAGAGTTAATTTTCATTTCTATTGCTACAGGAAGACCTATGTATTACATTAACAAAGCAAATGTTAATGTGGCATGCAGTACATGAACGTCTCCTGGGGCTGTAAGAATAATACATGAAAAGTAGATAGCATGTAATATGCTACCACCTACTGACTGAATCAAGGAGATTGTTTTTATTCTGTTCCCAGCGTTACACTGATTTTTGTCTTATTCGTGACGGTTTAAATTCTAGCACCAAGTTGTAACGGTGATGCTTGTGTCAGTATACAGTAGAGATGGGCTCACACTATAACATTAATCTCTGTATCTGGATTCTAATGTCCTCCAAGTGTGGGGGGGGCGTTTGAAACTGGCATTCTGGTTTGGCCCATTATAAAAATAGGAATCATTTGTAAAATTAAGATCCAGGTCCAGATTCGGAGTTTGAAAGCTCAGTAGCATTTTGATCCAAAGTTTTGATTCAGGTCTCTCTCCAATCTGTATCTGATCACTGATGAAACAGAAGTCAGAATCTTCTACCCCCTTTTAAGCTACTGCATAGAAAGGCTATGTGACTTGAGAAATAAACACAGAGGTGCATAAGGGGGAAATGTGTGTAGGGCAGAGGATTATTACATAACGGAAAATAGTTTGAGAGAGACAAACTGGACTTCTTTAAATAACTTTGAAACGGTCATGGTAGTCAGAGATGGGGCTGGGGGGGAAGACTGATCAGTATCCAATAAGTAAGTCCTTCCCCCTGCAATGGCAGAATATAATCTCAGTTAAAGATCTATCAAACTACCATTACACTTGATCTATACACCTTATGAGCCATGCTATAAAACCTTTTTTCACAAACTGGAATATGAACAAAATTGCTAAAGCTTTTAGTTCACCCCACCCTCCCATTTAAAATAAGGGAGCTTAATTTTGTTAATTAACCCCAGCCCTCCTTGTTCATATTAAAATCCTTACTGGTTTGGATATCTCAATTTGGCATTGCCTACCTTTGGGAAGAACGAAGGCTCTGTATCGTTGCATGTGAAGCACCTCCCCACTCTTTTCTCTCATTGCAGGTTTGCAGACAATGGCATTGGCCTGACCTTGGCAAGGTAAGCATTATTCATTCCTAGTTTGCCATCCCCCTACTTTGGCCTATGATTCCAAAATAGAGTTTGCCATAAACAACCCCTTTAACATACAGTCCTGTCTCTCCTAGCGGCGGAACTTTCCCACATGACGATGGTTCAAAGCAAGAAATAAAGAACAGCCTGTTTGTCGGTGAGAGTAAAAACGTGGGGACCGAGACCATGGACAACCACATTTGGGGGCCCGGAGGCCTGGATCATAGCGGAAGGACTCTCCCCATAGGCCAGTAAGTTTTGCCCAGCACAAGGGAACAGTTCCCATCCCTTCTGTTTGTTTAAGTTTATATATATTTTTAAGCACAGTTTGGTGTAATTTAAACTGAAGAAATTATACACAGAGGATTTTGTTTCATGTCTCTTGTTCCCAAGGTCCTCATTGTGCAGCTGCTGCTGGCAGGCATGTGCTTGCAGGCTGCCAGGACAGCATCAATACCTGCTTCGTGAACTGGGCTGGGGGGACGGCTAAAGTAGAGGAAGAGTTTGCTAACTGGGCAAGCTTTTCAACTGTGTACATGTAGTCAGCAAGGATTGGGCAATGCAGCAATCTCCACCCGTATCAGCTGCCAGTCACCAAGGAAATCTCTCGGGATCCCTGCCCAGGCTTTGGACCAAGCACAGTTGCTGCTGGGTTTGCATGATCTTTGTGCCCTTGTTAAATGTTTTACAAGCTACCTGTGAGTTTCACAGGTGACCTCGTCCATGATCTTGGTGCTCTGAGTTGGTTTTGCAAAGGCAATGGTATTTTCTTGTTGTTTTTAAAAACGTAACCACCCCAAGAGAAGTCTCCAGTGCACAAAGAGCTTGAATGTCATATCTTTCTGCATGACACTCCTCAATTCTGCTTGTCAATGGAGGCACAGTAGGCCTATCCTCTATACCAGTGTTTCTCAAACTGGGGTCGCCGCTTGTGTAGGGAAAGCCCCTGGCGGGCCAGGCCGGTTTGTTTACCTGCCCAATCTGTAGGTCCGGACGATCGCGGCTCCTACTGGCCGCGGTTCGCCGCTCCAGGCCAATGGGAGCTGCTGGAAGCAGCGTGGGCCGAGGGACATACTGGCCGCCGCTTCCCTACACAAGCGGTGGCCCTAGTATAAGAAACACTGTTCCAATAGTGAAAGGTTTTTTTAGTACCCTGTTCTACAGTCCTTTGTCTTCAGTGGAAGTTGTGTGTAAGAGCTCCCAAAGGCAAGGAGCACTCACCTGAATGAGAAATTCTTTTGTGAGGAAGTACCACTCATGTGAGTAAGGGATTGTGGTCTTGTTTATTATGAGCAATCCTTGACATGTTTTATCCAAGCCTGTTAAAGGGTTAAAACATCACATTCACTCAAATCAGAATGTGAAAAAGAATGTGTCTTCTCTACCTTTCCACTGGTATCTAAATGATCTCTGGTTAATGTGCTCTGGAGCTCCCGTAAAACTGTATCCTAGGCAGTGCAACAGTTTTTTGCATCTTTAAAGGCCAGTTTTTATTTTATTTGTGCCAGACTGCTTATCTCCCTGCTCCTATGAAAGCAGTCTTGGGATTTTAGCCCTGCAGTGATTCAGAATGAGGAGTGCAGATCTGATCAGTTACAGGTTTTGCTGCTGCTGCAGAACTTGTTTGTGATTGCAGCATGAATTTTTCCTTTTTAGGTCAGTGCCTTGGCATTATCCAATGTTCTTGCCTTTAGGAGTACAGATAAAGATGATCTGCTTAGACACGAGAGACCTTGACTGAACTCATAAGAACTGAAGGATTGCACAGGCTAAAACAAAAGCAGCACTAACTCAGAGTTATCCTGCTGGCTGGACAAAATAATGTCAGCTACAGAGCAAGCATCATGTGGCTATCCATTATCTAAGATACAGACTGATGTCTACGGTAACTCTTTCTGACCAAATCTCCCTCTCTCTATTTTTCAAATATGTTTTAGGAATTTTCCAATTCGAGGGATTCAGTTCTATGATGGGCCGGTCAATGTCCAAAACTGTACGTTTCGCAAGTTTGCTGCACTGGATGGTCGCCACACAAGTGCCCTGGCATTCCGGCTCAACAATGCCTGGCAGAGCTGCCCCAATAACAATGTCACGGATGTTCTATTTGAAGACGTTCCCGTGAGTTATTCCTTAAAATGGGCTCCTTGGCATTTGGTTTTGGACGTGAGAGTGATGGTGAAAAATGTGATTCAGGAAATGGCCATTGGGAGAAACCAACATCAGAACTGGAAGCCTAACAGCCTAGTCCCAATGATTGCCACGTTTTTAGCAAATTAGGTGTAAATTAGGGATAAGAAAACTGGTTTGTATTAAAAAAAAAAACAAAAAAAACAAGCCCAACTTTCTCACAAACTCAGAGCAAACCAGAACCAGAGCTATTTCCCCAAAAGCTTGTTTCCCATATAAATAAATAGCATTTCTAGTTCTGTGAGCCTCTGCACTACCACAGGCCTGATTCCATTTCCATGTACAAAGAGTAATTCTACTGAAGTTAAGAGAGGTACAGTTGGAGTAAAACCAGTACATGTGAGAGGAAAATAAGTCCCCTTTGGTTCCAGGTGGGGTAAGATGTTGAAGTGCCAGCATAGAAAGGCTGTTCTTATAAAAGTTCCAGCCGAATACCAAGGATAGGGGCGGCTCCAGGCACCAGCACAGCAAGCATGTGCCTGGGGCGGCCTGCCGGTCGCCGTGAGGGCGGCAGTCAGGCAGCCTTTGGCGGCATGCCTGAGGGAGGTCCGCCAGTCCCTCGGCTTCGGCGGCAATTCGGCGGCGGGTACGGCGAAGGCGTGGGACCAGCAGATCACTCGCAGAAACGCTGCTGAATCCGCCTGAGCAGCGGACCTCCCGCAGGCATGCCGCCGAAGGCTGCCTGACTGTCGTGCTTAGGGCGGCAAAAAACATAGAGCTTCCCCTGACCAAGGAACATCCCTGTGAGCAGAATCTAGGTTGAATTCTGTTCTTATTTACATCTGGTAATTCCATTGACATCAGTTCCGCAAATGTAAATGAGAGCAGAATTTGGCCCAAAAGGTTCTGATCTGCTTTGAATAAGCATGTGAACTTTCGGGTGCTTGTCTGAACCAAACCAAGCAATTAATTAGAACTAATCCTGGTGAGAGAGAAATTGACAGGTATTTTTGCATCTGCTTGTACAAATACATGCCTGCTGGTCCTGAGAGTGTCCCTCTTCCTGATGAAATGTACCTAGCAGCTGTTTAATCCAATGAACAAGCTTTGCAAGTGTATTTACAGACATCTGTGGATTGAACGAATGATTTTGATTGCCTCATGTTTACTAAATACCAGATATGCTAAAATTTCATGAGAAAAGTTGATTAAAAATCTTTGTGCCAAGTGTCTGGTAGGGAGAAAAAAATCCCCCAAAGTGTCCAACCCAGCCTCAGCCACATTGCATCAGGCTGGTTTGTGACATTCAATTTATTTAACTTGGATAAAGACCACTGGTCAGAAGTCACATAAGCAGCCATGTCCCCGGGGAAGCCGCCGATTGTTCCCAGTGTAAGTGCAACTTTATGTAGCATACAAATTTTAAAAAATGAAGAAGAAGTAGGAACACATGAACTGGGTCAGATAAAATAAAAATGTCCCTGAACCTTCCAACAAAACGTGAACCTCACCCCCCAGGATGGAGGCCAGGAGTAGAATGCTGGTGGTTTGTCCTCTACCTCTTTCATTCATGGTCAACAGGAAAGGGCGTATGACCCAGCAGACTTTTGCTGTGCATGACTTAGCTCTGCTTTAGCCTGAAGCACTGACCATGCATGCAGTATGTAGACAAGGGAGGGGCAACTCAAATATTCTAGCAAATGTCACTGAAATTCCTGCTAGCTGACAAGACCAACACTGCCAAAAGTGGCCACAGATTTTGGGTGCTCCTTTTTGGGGGGCACCCAGCCTGAGTTACTCAGAGCCTGATTTCTTTCCACAGGTGCTGAGCACCTAGAAGCTCCATTGACTTCAACTGGAGTTGTGGGTGCTCAGAGCTTCTGAAAACCAGAGCTAAGATGTCTCAAGTTGAGGACCCAAAAATGGAGGCACCCAAAACCAATGACCATTTTTGAAAACATTGGCCCTAATGTACAATTAAGTTTCCCCATCCCTACAGTGACTAGCAAATCCAAATGCCGCTTCTTGTCCCAACTATTTTACAATGCTAGTTAAAATCAAACAATTCAAGCCATTCCAACAACCACAGAATTGTCCTTCACTTAAAATGCTAAGCACTTAAAATACTTGAATTGCTCCTCTGGTATGTAAATATATGTCACTGTTCTGTTTAGATTACTTCAAGAGTGTTCTTTGGAGAACCTGGACCCTGGTTCAATGACCTGAATATGGATGGTGATAAAACATCAGTTTTTCATGATGTAGATGGCTCTGTGTCGGGATATCCTGGCTCATACCTTATAAAGGAAGATAACTGGTTGATCAAACACCCAGACTGTATTGATGTGCCAGATTGGAGAGGTGCCATCTGCAGTGGGCACTATGCACAGGTACCAAGAATTTACATTACACCACTGGCATTGCGTTGGGAGTACAGAAGTTGAAGGTGATAGGTTTATAGCTATTTTAAATTTCCCAGTACGGTAGGGCTTGAAGTCATCTTGAACTCAGAAATATGCACTTCTATGGGACACTCGGGGTGTCCTAGCATTGGGCAGTGCATCTGCCTGCATGGTTTTGCACACACACACGAGTTTGCCTGTCAATATTATGGCACATTTTCAAAGGCACTTTAAAAATTTTGGCCAGGAATATGAAACAATGAAAAGATCACTGCACTTCTGTAGCAACTTCTGTCCAAAGATCTCCAAGCATGTCAGAAGCATTCATAAATTAAGTTTCACAAACTGACTCTAAGATAGGGAAGTGTTATTTTCCCCATTTTTATGGAGGAAATTGTATCACAGCTAAGTTAGGTGACTTACCCACAGTCTCGTAGGAAGTCTCTTGTAGAGGCCAGAATAGAATCTGGATCTCCTAACTTCCATTCCTGTGACTTAGCCACAAAACTATTCTTCCTCCCACAAAAGCACATGGTACCACTGCCTAGAACCAGTCCTTCACTCTCTCTTGTGTGAAGTGACTATTTTTTAGCTTTGTTTTAGATACTGCAAGTGTTTTCAGAATAATATACTTAAAGCCAATTTGTAGCCATCTATCTTATTAAACCAATTGTGACTGTTTCCCTAATCTAGATATACATCCAGGCCTACAAGTCAGCCACCCTGAGAATGAAAATAATCAAAAACGACTACTACAGTCATCCTCTCTACTTGGAGGGGGCTTTAAGCAAAAGTTCTCCTTACCAGCAGTATCAGCCAGTCATAACACTGCAGAAAGGTTATACCGTCCATTGGGACAAGACGGCACCCGAGGAACTGGCTATATGGCTCATCAACTTCAACAAGTGAGTGATTCCTTCAAACCCTACCCCACAAAAGTAGCATCCCAACTCAGTAATGGAGCTATAAATGGTTAAAGAATGATGTTACTGAAATAGTCATGAGGAGTTCTTTCAGGGTTAACATCATTATTCCATGAAGCCCACTCTGAACTGCCCCATCTTTTAATTTGTCATGATACTTATGTCCCTCTGGATACATTTTTTTTTTTAGATGCCTAGGATCAAATTAATCCCTGGTGAATAGATGCCAATGGTATTAGATCAGGGATGAGTGTAGCTCAAATTGCTTAAGTAGCACATAGATGTTCTCTTAAAGGCTAAATTATGTTGACCAGCCAGGAAAAAAGTGTTACATTTCAAAGTGAACTATTTAACTTGGCTGATGACGTGCCCAGGAAAGTCATAGTCATGTGTCTATTATTTGTTATAATGTGGCTCTTTGCTATTTTAGGAACGACTGGATCCAGCTAGGGTTGTGTTATCCTAAAGGGACAACATTTTCCATTCTCTCAGACATCCACAATCGTCTCTTGAAGAAAACATACAAAACTGGGACCTTCTATAGGACCTTGCAGATGGACAAATTGGAGTACAGATACCCTACCAAAGGATACTATTACTGGGATGAGGACACTGGGTAAGGAAATAGCCCTTGGTCAACTAGACAGATATGAGAGAGCCATCTGACCCAGAAAGTGTTTTGGCCCAGACCAACATTCAAATGCAAACTGGAATCACAACAAATAGATTCCTTGAGACCTGATCAACTTTTCATTTCCTTCTGACTCATGGTGGCTGCCACTCATTCATGTGCTCTCAGCCACAGCCCCTCGCCTCCGATGGCTCCCAGTGCCAAATGAATGCACAGCAGGGCAAAAGGAAAAGCAGAAAGAGGACCCAGTGTATAGCAATGAAGTTACGCTGAACAAGCATAAAACCCTTCTTATTTCAAAAATTCGATCTAGGAATCTTAAACCACAACCATTTATGAGCATCGACATGTGTCATGCATAGCTGCCTAATGGATTTGAACAGGACAAATTTACCCCTTGGGGGATAGGACTCTTTCTTATAGGAAATTGAGGCTGGTTTTTATATATAGAGAGAGAAAGATGTATATTTATATATATATATAGCGCTCCCTCAGTGGGAATACTGGGGGGGAGTGGATCTATGTTTCCATCCCCACAATATCTCATGGAGGAGGGACTGAGGTGGCTGTGGTGCATGAGATTGGACTGACCACTGGGGAGCAGGAAGATCTTCTTGGCCCAGTCTGGTGCCACCTTCAGGTCACCATGGGCCCCAGTGGAGACACCAGGCACCTGGCACCTGGACAGGGAGCAAGGGGGCGATAGCGCACATGGCGCCAAGCACCTGGTGAGGGGTGGGGGAGTGCAGGGCACCAGCCATGGAGGAACTGATGTAGGAATGGCCATCAGAACTACCAGGAAGCCCCTTCCCAGCCTCGATGGGCTGCCCATCTCCCCCACTTCCATTCTCAGTAACTCCCTTTTGCTGTCCCTCCTATCCCTCCACCCCTGATTCACAGGGAATATCCTCCCGCCTCTGAATAAATACATATACACACACTGATTTATGTAAAAATAACGGCCCTCTAGAGCTACACCTCTACCCCGATATAACGCGACCCGATAGAACACAAATTCGGATATAACACGGTAAAGCAGCACTCCGGAGGGGGGCTGCGCTCTCCAGAGGATCAAAGCAAGTTCAATATAACGCGGTTTCACCTATTACGCGGTAAGATTTTTTGGCTCCCAAGGACAGCATTATATCGGGGTAGAGGTGTATATAAATACACAATGTGTGATGTGGTATAAATATTCTATTAGCATCAGTCTAGGATGGCTGTATTACACATTTGTTATCACAAAGCACTGAGACATACTCTGTTATAACCTGGACCTATTCGTTTTGGTGTGTAACACCCCATGATTTGTGCCTTGTCACCCCCAATTTGCAGGCTGCTGTTTCTGAAACTCAAAGCCCAGAATGAGAAGGAGAAGTTTGCCTTCTGCTCAGTCCAAGGCTGCGAGAGAATAAGGATCAAAGCTGTGATCCCAAAGAACGCTGGAATTAGTGACTGTGAAGCCAAGGCCTATCCAACATACATGGAAAATCCAGTAATAGATGTGCCAATGCCTAAGAAGCTCTCTAACACACAACTGGTAAAGTACCTTGTTTGCTATTACATTTCTATGACCGTTGTTCTGTTTCCTTGTAAATTTACAAGCTTTATCATGCATCATTCCATGTAGCCATGGAAACCATCTCTAGAACTACTCTACCCTGTGCATAACTTCCTGAAATGGTCCAGAAGTGTAAAGCAACCTAAACCAGCCACCAGCTAGTACAGAAAACCCAGATTCATAAAAGGAAGAGATACTTAAAGCTGCATGCCTGACTCCTAGGGATAGGTGCTGGATACTCATGGGGGCAATGGGGATAGCTCTGGGGTATTGAAGACTGCATTTCACAGTAAGAATTTGATCTAATGGTCAGGGGTGGAGTGCTGCACATAGAAACACAACTCACAAAGTGATGAGCAGGGTGACGGGTTGCTCAGGAGAACTTGATTGGGCTCTGATGAGAGTTCTGCAAGCCATGCCTGCCTAATAGCAGAAGCAATGCCAGAGGGGGGATTGCATTGCTAAGGGTATGTCTATGCTGCAAAGAAAAACCCGGGGCACTACGTTTCAGAGCCCAGATCAATTGACTCAGGCTCACATTGCTCAGGCTGTGGGGATGAAAATAGCGTTGAAAGATAGGTTCATGTTCTGCTCCCAGCCCTGCCCTTTCTTACCTTTCTCACTTGGAGCAGGGATACAGGATCAAAGCCTCAATTAACTACATATCACTGCACAAAACAAAACTTTCCTTTTTGTGAAACTAGCAAAATTTAAATGTTGACAGGATCAGCTCAGAGGTTAAGATTTTGCCCAGATTTAATTAACAATGTCATTTGGCAAGTGCCAATATATTCGGTACTTTGTTATTGTTGATTAAACTGCTAGGAAGCTCTTGGTTTAAAATAAATAGCATTTGGGGAATGGACAAAAGTGGTAAACACTGTTCTCTATTTTTAAGCAGAATAATAAGGACCATTTCCTAGAGCTGAAAGTACAAACCTTCAAGACCAGATACTTCCATCTCAGGGATGACTTTGCATACATTGAGGTAAGTGGTTCCTTCTCAGCCACATTTGTTGGACTTTTAGAAATACATAGGTTAAAATTCTGGGGGTTCACCCAGAATTTACTGAGGAAACTACCACTGATCGTTTCGAGGAATTAGGTCATTCAGGCTGTGTCTCTTATGAAAATGAGTAGTAATCATAGGCAAAAATTCAAGTTGGTCCAAGCTAGGAGATAGGGAATCCTATCCCTTGAAGCAAAGAGCAGTTCAACGCTGCCATGCCACAGTCACGAGGCTTCTTACAGTTAACTGTTATGAACTCGGATTTCATTGGCACATCAAGAGTTTTTTCTTTTCTGCAGGTTGATAGTAAAAAGTTTTTCCTCGCTGATGATGGTATCCAAGTCGTTGTGATCGATGGGGAGAATGGAAAAATTGTTGACCGAATAAGTTTCAAAAACTCTATTCTACAGGGAATCCCAACGCAGATAGACAATTATGTCACCAACATCAAAAACAAGTGAGTAAATAATCCAGTGTGTAATAAAACTTTAGCATACAGGAGTGTTGCTGAAACGCTGACCCTTTTTCTTAGCCCTGGTCACCTGATATGGCTTAGTTACAAAATCTTAATGACATGGTTCATGACATGATTCAGTTGCATGACATGGCTCAATATCAACTTCATCAGAATCCAAATGCTGAGTTTCAAAGTGTCTCTAAGGCATGGACTGTAAACCTGTGAAAAAACTGTCATTTTCAGTTCCTAAACCACAATGCTCCTAATCTGTTTTCATATTGCCTGAGTAATCTGTTAGTTCTCATCAGATGCCACTGATAAACTATATGCATGCTATGTGCATGTGTTCCATCCCTAAACACATGTGCTGTGTGTTTTGATTTCTGTAAGCATGCTAGCCAGAGATCCAGAGCAATGAAACTAGACTGTTGAGTACCAAACACATGTTCCGAGCAGCTGTATTCTGGAGCACAGTATTCTAGCCAGCCTGAAATACTAATAGAAACCATATCAATGCTTCTTAAATTGAGGATTGTGTTCTCTGCTCATATTGGTTTGTAGAGTATTAATACACATAATTGTTGGTAGAGGTATTTATTCTTATCTTTTATCAAGTTACTGATCCATGAGAGGACCTTCCTCCTTATCCCATGACAGCTTACTTTGCTTAAGAGCCATTGGTGAGGGACCTTGTCAAAGGCTTTCTGAAAATCTAAGTACACTATATCCACTGGATCCCCCTTGTCTACATGCTTTTTGACCCCCTCAAAGAATTCTAGTAGATTAGTGAGGTATGGTTTCCCTTTACGAAAAACATGTTGACTCTTCCCCAACAAGTTATGTTCACCTATGTGTCTGACAGTTTTGTTCTTTACTATAGTTTCAACCAGTTTGCCCAGTACTGAAGTCAAGCTTATTGGCCTGTAACTGCCAGGATCACTTCTGGAGCCCTTTTTAAAAATTGGCATCACATTAGCTATCCTCCAGTCATTTGGTACAGAAGCTAATTTAAATGATAGGTTACAGACTACAGTTTGTAGTCCTGCAATTTCACATTTGAGTGCCATCAGAACTCTTGGGTGAAAACCATCTGGTCCTGGTGACTTATTACTGTTTAGTTTATCAATTTATTCCAAAACCTCCTCTAATGACACCTCAATCTGGGACAGTTCCTCAGATTGTCACCTAAAAAGAATGGCTCAGGTTTGGGAATCTCCCTCACATCCTCAACTGTGAAGATCGATGCAAAGAATTAATTTAGTTTCTCTGCAATGGCCTTATTGTCCTTGAGTGATCCTTTAGCATCTTGATCATTCAGTGACCCCACTGGTTGTTTAGCAGGCTTCCTGCTTCTGATGTATTTAAAAAAAAATTGCTATTACTTTTTGAGTCTTTGGCTAGCTGTTCTTCAAATACTTTTTTGGCCTTCCTAATTATATTTTTATACTTAATTTGCCAGAGTTTATGCTCCTTTCTATTTTCCTCACTAGGATTTAACTTCCACTTTTTAAAGGATGCCTTTTTGCCTCTCACTGCTTCTCTTACTTTGTTGTTTAGCCACGGTGGCTCTTTTTTTTGGTTCTCTTACTATGTTTTTTAATTTGGGGTATACATTTAAGTTGAGCCTCTATTATGGAGTCTTTAAAAAGTTTCCATGCAGCTTGCAGGAATTTTACTTTTGGTGCTGCACCTTTTAATTTCTGTTTAACCAACGTCCTCATTTTTGTGTAGTCCCACACCTCATTTTTGTGGTGTTTTCCCCACAGAGGCTCGTTTGGGGGGGGGGGGGGTTTCCAGATGCAGTGGCAATGGGACTCTACAGGGGCTTCCAGGGGAAGGTTGTTGGGGCTCAGTGGAGGGGTCTGGATGTGGGGGTCTTAGTAGGGGGGTCTGGGTGCTGAGGGAGTGGGGCTTGGTGGGGTGGGGGTCTGGGTGCAGACAGTTGGCTGTCGGTGTGGGGACCCAGGGTGGTGCAGGGGGTGGGGTATCAGGGTGGGGGTTTGAGTGTAGGGAACTCAGTGGGGGGTGTCTGGGTACAGGGGTCTGGAAGCAGGGGGTCTGGGTTCAGGGGGGCTCCAGATGTAGGGGTTGATGTGCAGTGGCATGGGGTTTGGGTATGGAGAGCTAGGGGAGTTCTGGGTGTACGGGGTGAGGGTGGCATGGGTGTCTGGGTATGGGAGGTCTGGATGCACAGGGGTTGGGTGGATGGGGGAGCAGCTCCCCGTACAGTGACCCCTCCCCCCACAGCTGAGGATTGATGGGGACAGGAAGCAGGGGAGGCTGCTGAGCTTCCTGCAGCTGGGGGAGGCTTCTGGAGGTGGGTCTGACACAGACCCAGCCACTCCTTGCAGGGGAAGAGGAAGTCCCAACCTCTCCTGCCTCCAGCCCAGCCGGGACTAGCAGCTGATCCCCGGCTCAGGGTAGGAGCCACTGGCTGGAGTTTTCCCAGCCCCACAGTGATTTACCTCTCTGCTGGCTGCTCTGGGTGCCTGGAAAGTTGTACCTGCATTGCTAGGGAGTCGTGCGTGACTGTTTTTGCAGCTTCGCTGTCAGAAAGTCATTTTTCTGCAGGGAAGCAAAGAAATCTGCGGGAGACATGAATTTTGTGCACGCACTGTGGTGCAGAATTCTCCCAGGAGTAAATTAAAGCAGTACAATTTGTATGTGTGTAGGCAAGGCCTATGAACATGATCTTTGGACCTGTTGAGCCTTCAACTCCCATGGAAGTCAATAGAAGTGAAGAGCAGTTAGCACCTCAAAGATCCTAATTTTGCAATATGTATTTAGTAGGATAGTAACCTTGGATTGTTCTCCTGCTCTTCTGAAATGTTCTCTTAGCCCTTTCCTCCATTCTCCTGCCTGCTTTCTGGAAATGGGATAAAGCCAGACATTTTAGCTATAGCTGTTAAACATACCATTTATCCAGGAAAGAAAAATGGGGTCTGCTGTGATGAATCTGTTTGAACTATACATTTTTAATAGTTTTTTTTCCTGGAATGACAGAGCCTATTAGTTCACTCTAGGAATTTACTGCAGGCCAAGTGTCATATTTTGTCTATGCTCATACTTTTGCGATGAGTTTCCCAAAGCAAATAGCTGGAACAAGTCGAAGCTATTTTTTGAAAGCTCCAAGACGGGAAAGGCTTAGCTGAAATAAATGATTTTTTAGTAAAGTAAAAGAAAAAAAAATCTAATATCAGACCAAGAATATAACTAAATACATGCTGTCAACCCAATTAGTTTTATAACAGTGCAAGTATTAAATGTAACAGCTGAGGTTTAAGCTAAAAACAGACTAAAGGTTTGTCTGCACTACAATGGCACAGGTATGATGCACTGTAGTGTAGACACGTTCTATGGCGACGGAAGAGGTTTTTACATTGCTGTAATTAATCCACCCGCTTGAGAGGGAATTCTTCCATCAACCTAGCAGTGTCTATACTGGGGCTTAGGTTGGCTTAACTACATCTCTCAGGAGTGTGAATTTTTCAAGTTTTAGGTGGAGATCAGGCCTTAGTGACTATTAACCCTTTTGTTCCTGGTTTTTCCTTGCAATTGCTGTATTGCCATTATCCCATTACAATGGATTTTAATGGAATTGTCATGTTAAGATGTAGCTAGTCCATTCAGCAGCCCAGCAGTTGCGTTCTATGTAGTAATAATCTGGAAAACAAGGAACTCTTGGATGGCTAATTGTAGTGACAGTTTGTCCTACTGTAACACAATGGGGCTGATCCATCAAGGTTTTCTACCTGCAGAACACCCATTGACATCACTGGGGCACCTTACCTGGAGAGCTTGCAAGATAGAGTAAAATAAATTAAACTAGTCTAACATTTTATCAATCACCCTCTTTAATGAAGAGGAGCACACTTGACTGCAAGAACCAGAGCCCATCTGTGCCTCATCGAAGTCAATGGCAAAACTCCCATTTTCTTCAATAGGGTCAGGATTTCTTGGTGCAGTCACTGGAGAGATCTTGGCGCCTTGCAGAAGAATAGGGGTGCTAACCTTATTAGCCTGCCTAAAGTTCAGCTTGGATGGTTCTGTCTACAGAATGCCCCTTCCAGGTTCAATTTGATAGGGGATTTTTCTTCACTTTCTGCCCTAACCTGTTTTATAGTGTTGCTTAAACAGCTGCTGAATTTTACCGCAGAGGTCGCTGCAGATTTGTGATAGGTAAACTGATCTGATCCTTGAACCGTACATCATTTGTACTTCAGTCTGAGTTTATAAAGCACCCGAGGACCTTTTGGAAGACGTGCTATTTATAAGGACACTAATAATGCACATTTGCATCAAACATGCACTCAAAAAGAAGGAAAATTGACCCTCTGCACAGATTCTAGGGAGGTGAATTTATTTGAGATCTAGTCCGTTGCTGATATGAAAACAAAGAGTTAAATGAGAATTGCTAAGTGCATCCCAGATGAAGCACATTCCACTCAGAGTGGCATGTGATGGAAATGCTGATTTTGAACATTTAAACCGCTCTAGAAACTCAGTGTCAAATAAGCAAATTAAATATGCTTCCTAATGGATTTTGCATATATGGAAAAGTGAATATGTGGTTAAGTCATTGGAGAACATCTAGTTCGCAGGTGTCCCAGTGTCACACTGATGGCAGATACCAATGATTAAATCAGACAAGTGACAAAGGTTTAACTATTGTTTGTTTATAAATGGCTTTGTTTTCTTTAGTTCTATAGTGGTGATGGCATCCAAAGGCAGATTCATTTCAAAAGGACCCTGGACTAAAGTACTGGAAAAACTTGGAGTTGAGAAGGGTTTTAAGTTAAAAGGTAAGGAATTTTAAAAACATAAATACAAACTTTTGATGTGTTAACCTAACAAGTTAAAAACCTTCAATATACCAACTCCTGCTAGTAAACTGACCTTGCGCAAATGAGTGGGCACTGTGCTTCTCAACTGGACTCACGTGTCAGTGAGAGAGATGCAGACCTCCCTCCTTGAGGACAGTTTGGGAAAGACCTCGGGATTTCTGCCACCCAGGCTCAGTGTGATGTCTATCATTTGGGAATATGGCATAAGGAGAAGCCACATTTACAACATCCTTGTGCTGAATGGATGCTAAGATGGCATCCACACCAGCTGTAGAGAAGGCAGTGCATTTTGGTACCCTTCGTGGAAGAAGTGCCCAGATAGCGCCCTTCCAAGTGGTGGGGAGTGAAAATACCAAATTAAAGACCATTCTGAGTGTGTCCAGGTGTCTCCTAAACATCCAGACTGTTAAACCAGAGTGCCAAGTATCAGCACAACTAAACAGCTATTTTAAATTGAGGCTTATTTAATCGTGCTTTGCTTACACATGCCTAAACCTTCCATATCTACCTAACAATATTCTCTGTCTACAGTGCTATGATTAACACAGAATTGCTTTGAGTTCCCTCTTGAAAGTACATCCTCTATAAGGCAGTACGTCTCTGCCCACTGTCACAGCAATGACCTTTGCTAAATGCTGTTCCCAAAAGTAATGACATAGTTTTAGAGAAGGTAGAGAACTTACTTCAGGGGAGATGGCTCTGGTACCTCTTTTCCATCTCTAACTTCTCTAGTCCTCTGATTCTGCTAATGATTTCTTTTAAGATAGCCATTGATTCAGAGATAAATCATATATTCAAACTGCCACACCTAGCCCCAGCATCCAATGTGTCTGTAACTGACTGTATAATATTGTCATTGAGAAATTGTTGGTCGATATCTGCTCTGGAATTGCACGTATTTACATTGCATCAAGACGCACACCAACCCCAGAGAGTTTGCCATTGGAAGCTACTGTAACTTTAGCAAGTATTTTCTTTGAGATAAGGGAACCAGTAAGAATTGAAAATGGAGTCTCCAGCCAGCACCATTACATACCAGATGGTTCAGAAAGATCAGAGTGCACCTAGAGTCAGAGGCAAAGTTAGAAGCAATTGGCAATTGGTTTGGACCTAATTGTGAGGTTCCTGTTTATCAAGAACCAAATTTACCATGTTGTTTGGCTAAAACAAGTCGTGAGCAGAGCTGTGTGGAGGAGAGAAGTTTTGTTTTGCAAAGAATTTCAAGATTTCCAAATTTCCCGTTGTTCAAAATAGGAATGAAAACTAAAAATTTCAAAATTCTCTGCAAAGGACAATTCTGAAAAGTAATATTTTGGGCCATTCATTTTGATTCTGACTTTCAAAATGTGTATTAGATTATCATACATAATTTCATACAAAATGTGAAACAAAGGATTGTTTCAAAACTAAATGTTGAACCGTTTTATTTGGAAAATGTCAAAAACAGGACCTTTCAACATTGTGGTGTTCCTCTCTGCATTAATTAATTGATAATAGTTCACTTGACACACAGCAGAGTATGACCTTACAAACATCTAACACGTACAACAGAAAATTTTATAACCAGAGCACCCTCTTTAACACAGGTAGAGTGCATAGTGGTTAGCTCCATGAAGTTTGCATGTGTGTGAGTGGCATGAAGTCAAAGAGAAGTTTAAGGGGTGACTTGGTTACAGGCTAGAAGTATCTACACAGAGAACAAATATTTAATAATGGGCTCTTCATTCTAGCAGAGAAAGGTATAACACGATCCAATGGCTGGAAGTTGAAACTAGACAAATGCAAACTGGAAATAAGGCGTACATTTAATGAGCGTAATTAACCATTGGAACAGTTTACCAAGTGTCATAGTGGATTCTCTATCACTGACATTTTTAAAATCAAGGTTGGATGTTATTCTAAAAAATCTGCTGTAGGAATTATTTGGGGGATGTTCTATGGCCTGTGTGGTACAGGAGGCCAGGCTAATGATCTCAGTGGTTTCCTCTGACCTTGGAATCTATGAAAGTGCTTCGACTTGTTTGCAGTCAGCTGCAATACCAATTTATTGCTGTTGGTTTTCAGATAAAATGGCTTTTGTCGGATTCAAAGGCAGCTTTCGACCAGTCTGGGTGAAACTGATCACCGAGGAGGATGCAGCTAAAATCTATCAAGTTGTGCCAATCCCTGTGGTGAAGAAAATGAAATTATGAGGACACCATGCTTTGCCTTCCTGCTGTTAGCACTGCCCCAATAGAAAAGGACTACTGACTCTGCTCCCAACAGGCACCGTGCCACAGCGCTCCAGAGATGTAGTATTTCTTTGTTGCTGTACATGAAGAAAGCTTTATTGCAAGTGGGTAGATGGCCACATGTGACAAACAGCATTCCTTGTGCTGCACATCTTGTTTGATCCTGCCCTATTGATTTGCTTGCTGAAACCAGATTTACCTTTATTTTCTAAGCTAATATCTGGGGCAAAACTGTTTTCAAATAGTGGGGAGGGGAGTGTCAGTGCCTTTTACATGGCCTGGTCATGTTCTGCCTCTACATCCCTTGTGAGCCTCTCAGGTATGAATGTCAAATCTAATTGCCATACAAGACTCGGAATTTTCCCATGGGACTGTTTTTGAGAGTGCAATCAGCTGCTCGCACAAAACTGGGAATGCAAATTCAGAGACTGGCTGAAAATTTGGATCAGAAATCATAAATTATAGTCAGTATCTGAAAGCTGCAAAACATGGTCAAACAATGAGAATTTATTTGAAAGCTTCTGCACTCTTCTGTCAAACTGCTGCAGAATCCCGAGACTAAATTGTACATGCTGAACCACTTGGGAGTTATCACATTTCAGCTGATGGTACATAGTGAGGAAAGAAATGGCATAGGAGTGATTTAACACATTGTGATGCTTTGGGTTCACCCAGACCAATAAGGGGTTGTGTCACTACTTGCCCTGGGTGCCTCCGTGCTATGCAGCTATGGCGCAGAACTCTGACACCAGCAGCCAGCTCAGTGATCTCACCCTGGCTTCCACCTGCTTGATTAGTCCTTGCAGGGTGACACCAACAGCCTCTTCTGTCTGGAGTCCACCCAAAACAGTCTCCCCTGTGGCGCTCAGCCCCTCTCGCTGTAGCATTCACCAAACCTTATCAAGTTCGTTGCTCCTTTGGTGAGAGAGTACGCAACACCGGCCTGTTAGTTTGGCTGAGGATTTTACTCTTCAGTTTGAAACACTGCACTGAGATGGTGGTGTACTAAAACAAGATTAAGTTTATTAACAAGGAAGTGATATTGAACTGATACCAAGTGGACAGAACTGGGACCGAAATGCCTACAAACAAACAAACAAAAGTAAAAATACCATTCTAAGACTAAAACCTAACTTAAACTAGAGTCTCTTGTTCAAAGTAGTTTTCTCACCACACTTGTTCTTCCAGCATGGCTGGCCAGTTCTTAACCCCGAACCAACACAGAGCTCAGAGCACTTCGTTTCTTTGTCTCTTCAGATGAAGGATGCCAAAAAGGCTTTTTCTCTCCGCTGATATCCTCAAAGTTTTATCTTTGTTTTCAAAGTCAGGAAGCCTGTTTGGGGGCTCAGCTTGCTGGGTCCACCCAGGAGCTGACACCATGTTCATTTTTACAGTCTCCTCCTCCCGCTGTGATAGTGGCTCTCGCCCCAACTCGCTAGTTTGATGGCTTTGTTTACCTTTTATGTAAATGTACTTCCATTGTCTCTCTTGGCTCAATTGACATTGGAGACACATTTGTGCAGGTGGGCCCATGTTCCTTTGTCAAGGGCAGGGTGCCTTATGCCCTACCTGCCAAACACAATTTTAAGAACATATTTCCAGAGCACATTTATAAGTTTTCATACATCATGCATACATGCACCAGCAATAATATTAATGACCAACTTGTTACCAGTTGCCTATGATATCTTACATGGCACCTTTTAGATACAGTAAATTGGGGTACACTGAGCTGGTTAGGCCAATGGAGGCTCACTGCTAGAAACTAGGGCACCCCTTACCCTCTGGCATTGGGGTGTTCTTAGGGTCACACATGTGCAAACCAAATATGGTCATAATGGAACCTGCTATTTCTGCTCAATCCCATAACCAACAACTGGCGTTCCCATGGTTATGCTTTTAAATAGCTGTTGTCATGATTCTGTGTTTTTCCCAGGCAAGCAGCCACAGACTGATGGAAAAGACCTGACAACCATGCTCTTCACACTTACTCAGACTTTCTCACACATTCCTTCAAATATAAATTTTCAGAGCCAGCCCAGTGGACTGGTTGTGCCTACGTGACATGCTACCGAGAGGATCCACGCTTGGGTCTCTCGCCCCCAGGCAGGGAATGCTGGGGAGTCATCTTACTCCATCCCTAATCAAGGGTGAGGATTAAATTGTACTTCCAGTGCAATCAAGGGGGACAGGATCAGGCCCAATGTGTTGTGCATTACTTGCCTGTAATTTCTTCTGGCCAGGGCAGTGAGTATGTTAATAGGCTCCAGAGGGAGCTAGATCTTTCCTGGAGGGTGAATCACTAAGATGTAGGGGGCTTTGAGGTCACGTGGAAGGGCTGAAGAGGAAAAGTTGATCCCAGGAGACACACCTCCTCCCCAAATAATGTAACCTTATGTATTTTCTGCCCCCTTTCCTTCAAAACATAATATTCTACGTTTAAAAAAATGGATGATGAGCAAAGTTGAGTGTAAACCAGAACTGCTTTCTTCATTAAGCTGGGAAATGTATCTTAACCTTATAAAAACACTGTATATTGTTCAAAAATGCACATGATACAGTGCTTTGTGTTTCCCAAAGATATCATGCAGGTGTCTCAAGTGGCTTCTGTTATTCGGGTAACTTCCAAAAAAAATGGAGTACTTGAAGTAGGCAAATTGTCCATATGCCAGAGCAGTTGTGTTTCCCTCCCCTCCACTACCCCCAAAAAAATCCATTGTTGGTTTGTCTTTTTAAATAGGACTTTTTTCTGAGTGTCTCTTTTTTCACTGTATCTAAAATGTCAGCTCTGGATTGGAATGAAGCAGCCATGAATCCATGTGTCATTGCACATGGTGTCACTGTGCAGGTGCTGAATTCCAAAAGACCTTTCTGGCACTGTTTTTGGACCAGGTTGCTGTGTGAGTCAGTTATAAGTGGTATTCAGGCTCTAATGTAGGTATGTGCCCCTCCAGTCCTTCCTGGGTTTTAAAACTGGAATTGCTTTTTTTCTATACTGTTTTTATATACTGTTTTCCTTAGCGGAATTTCAAGAGTGTTGCATTTTTTTGAAAGGATCCAGGGTTATTTCTCTTTTCCCTGGCTTCTTTACATCTCATAATGAAGGATTCCTCATTCAAGCAAAGGCATGTCTGCTCTAAACCATTCATGCCATTTGGGCTAATTCCACTAGATGCAGTGTGAAAGGGCATAGCTCTCAAGAAATATACATTTCTCTCCCAATGTCTTATGATGATCTGGGTTCTTTCCATCCCCAGATCACAACTATTCCTTAAAAAAGATTAGTCTCACTTACAGTTCAACCTCGATTATACAAATCTCATTTATCTGAAACTCCCTGTTAGCCAAAACAGTATCCTATCCCTTAAGTCTAGTAATTACATTAAAAAATCCTTAATTATTCAGAACCCTGGCTATCTGAATGCATTCAGTGTCCTCCACAATATTCCCATAATCGAGGCTGTACTGTAGGTACAACGGCATCTATTGCTCTGTATTAGCAGATCATATGTACAATATAATGAATGAAAAATACTAGAAAGGGGCCAAGACCAGAATTTTTTTATTCTGAAGGTTTTAGGAGAGGAACCAGGATCAAAACCCCTCTGGGTTTGGATTTGGTTTTCCAAAAACATCCTGGTTTTGCCCTTTGCTATTCTAGCCAATCACGTCTTTATATTGTAGTAGCTGAGCACCTATCGACTCAGTACAATCAAACCCAATGGAGCAGGAGTCGAGTTCTTTGTTTAACTAATACAAAAAGGCAAGTTGCATTTGTACTGAAGTGTTGCTTCTAATTTTCACAATTTTTGGAATTCTCAGGGTGAAATCATAAGACTTGGCACTAGGAAATATACCTGTTTTTTAAATCACATCTTATCCAGGGAAAAAAGTCTGTTTTGTTCTGTCATGCAAGGATAGTCATGTGGGCCCATTTAGGAGGAAGGGGATGGGTCTTACTCTGTAAATACTTAGGATAGGATCACTGCAACTTGTTAAGCCTTAGACAGAGAACGTGGCTCGGCATAATGGGCCAGATTCTCCCCTGAAATGCAAGCAGCTCCCATTGACTCAATGGGAGTTAAGTGCATGGAACTGACGGCAGAATTTGGCCTAATATCACCAACCAATAGTTCTGATATATCATTTTTTAAATATTTGTGGATTCTAGAGGTTGTACGTGTGTTCCTCTGCAAATAGTGAATTGACTGACTCCTTGTAGTTTGTACATTCTTTAAACTGTCCCATTCACAAACTGTAAATATCCTGTCTGTAAGGTTTTATTGCTGCAAATATTTTCACGTTAGCCTACATATACAGTCATCATTATTAAGGCAATTTTGGGGTGGGGGTGTGTCAGTTCAAATGCTTGTTTTACCTGTTGCCGAAATAGCTGGTCCTTTTTCGGAATTAGATGTATAGTGTTTTGTACATTTTCCTATAGACTTCACAATGAAAAAGATATATTTTCTATTTATTTATTACAAAGGCACTATGAGACCTAAATTTGCAGAGATTTGAAGACCTGTTACTGGATTTGAGCATTGTCCAAGCTGTTAAGGAGGTTGGAAATATGTCTTTTCAGATAATCTGCTTTGCACTTGAAAGTTATGTCCACAGAATGTGGCAATGCGTTGACTGTCTAGTTTATGCTGACAGAAGCTTTTGAAAGATTCATTCCAAAAGTTTTTGCTTACAACAGAATTAATATGTAGTAACTTGGGATACAAAAAGGTTTATCAGAATAAATATTCAATGCCAAATTATGACTTTGTCTCTTGTACTCTTCATTATAACTTTATGGCAGTGAACTGCTATTTGTTTAAATATCTTTTTGACCGTGTATTCCTGTTCCCACCATCCTGCTTGCTTGTTCTATAACCGCTGTTAACCAGCACCTAGAATACTTTAGGTGACGATTGTTTTTTCTGACATTCATGAAATAAGTGTGAGTATACAGCAGAAAAAAAAATCCTGATTTTATTTTTTCATGAGTATCCATGTATCCCTATGAGGTTCTTATAACCAGGGCAATCATATTAGCGTGTTACATTTTCCATTGTGGGGTTGAGCCAAACAGACTGTCTCTATAAAACCTTTCAGAGGCAGCATTCCTAAAATGAGACTTTGGTGACAGGAAATCAGTATTTCCAACATCCGAGCACACATTTTTGAACCAAGTCTCGTGATAGTAATTAGCATTTTAAAGGGCATGGTATCACCCTCCTAAGTGATTCAGACAAGGCAGCTGCTACACACTCACTCCTGGTTGAAATCAATGATATGTGTGAAATCTTCAAATCACTTACATGCAACCAATTGAAGATGAGATCAAAGGCAGCACTGAAGCTCCTGTCCCCTCCCTCCCTGTCTTCTTCCCCTCTGCTCCTGTCCCTGCCCTCATATCCTCCCTCCCACCCAAGCCTGAGCCATCATCATCCTGCATCTTATGCCAAGTCTCATGAGGGGAAAAAACCCCAGCCTTGCCTTTCAAAAAGAAAAAAAAAAAAGACCCAACCCATTTCAGAGAGAGGGGAAGTGGGGGCAGTGCTTAATTTGTAATGAAAGAGGTGTCGTGACACAGCCCTGGTAAGCCCTGGCACAAATTAAGCACAGGCTGGGCAGCCGGAGAGGGGCAACTGCCAGCCGGGCACCCAGCTCTGAAGGCAGCGTTGCTACCAGCAGCAGTGCAAAAGTAAGAGTGGCATGGTATGGTGTGTTGCCAATACACAGACATTATCTGACAAAATTATATTAAAAAACGTTAGTTCTGCCAAGCCTACATATCAAACAGTATATTCATCACGTGATGATATAAAGTACATATCCATACCCTGGCAAATGAGAGGGAGGAGGATACGTTCCCTGGGGCTTGGCAGCAAGTGATCAGTGAGAACCAAATATCAGAACTGGAGGAGGGTCGGGGTGGTAGTCCCTTTGCTTTCCCTTTCACACTCAGTGACTTGCCATGACTCACACCGAACAGGGCAGGCACAGTGAGAGATTTTCCTCCTCAGGCTTGGAAAGGGAAAATTCAAATGTTTGCAACAGGGTTTAACCAGGGCAAAAAGGGGGTGGGAATTGACACACACGTCTCTGTCTTTCAAAAGTCAACAGCCAACCCCGACTCGGCAAGGTTTCCATCACCCTTGGGATGGAAATCTTGGGTGAACACTAAGCTCTGCTAGCATGCAGAGGGAGAGCCAGGGAGCGAGCAAGAGGCGGAGGACAGCACTAGGACAGCCAAGGGAGGGAGTCTGGGATGGGGAGGCAGTGGAAGGGGTCATTTCCCGGGTGACTGACACCGGCCAGCGGGACTCACCTCCTGCAGTGCAGGAGAATGGAGGAGGCGGCGGCGGGAGGTGGTGGCAGCACCTGTCCCAGTTGGTGATGGCTAGAGGCGGCAGTGGCTGAGCAGGGCAGTGGGCTCATGAACCCAGAGGTGGCTGGGCCCTTGTGTAATGGGCAGGAGCATTCTGGGTCAGCCGCTCTACGCTCCCTGCAGAGAGGGGTGGGGTCAGGGTCAGTGCCTGGCAGGCAGCAGGGGCTAGCTGGGCCACCGTCCTGCTTTCTGGCTAGAGCTGCTGTTCTGCCACAGGTCTCAGGGCCTATTGCGCCCCCCTCTTCCCTGCGCCCTACAGCAGTTTCCATGCCTGGGCTTACGCTGCACTGGGGAAAGAGCTGGTACAGATTACTTCACCCTGGCACAAGGATGAAGCATGCACATGTTTGTGCCCCTGCTCCTGGGGCAATGTGGCCTCTCCCTCAGCTGGGGTTGTAGGGCCCTCTGTAATTTGCTCACCTTTATGTATAGTGCAGTCTAAGCCCTGGGCCCAGTCCTGCACTCTGGCATATACTCCCTGAAATCAATGGGTGACTAGCCTGGGTCAGGCACGCCGGTGCAGGCTCAGTGGCCCCAGTACTACATTACACTTGGGCATGTGGTTCATTTTAAGCACATGTGCAGTTCTGCTAAATTTAAGCATGTGCTTTGCTGCCTCAGGGCCATTAGGTCTAATTTTGAAATGGCTAAGGAAAGCCTTTCCTCTGGCAGCCACTTTGGGGATATGTCTGCAACCGCCCACCAGTAAGGTCACAAATGAAGTCAGCTAGGTCACCATGCAGTGCTAACTCAGGGTTAACCAGGCATTGGAGAATTCCCCTAGTGCAGGTGGGTCCTTGGGGGTGGTAGCGTTGCCATATCATAGAATCGTAGAATATCAGGGTTGGAAGGGACCTCAGGAGGTCATCTAGCCCAACCCCCTGCTCAAAGCAGGCCCAATCACCAGACAGATTTTTACCACAGTTCCCTAAATGGCCCCTTCAAGGATTGAACTCACAACCCTGGGTTTAGCAGGCCAATGCTCAAAACACTGCAGTTTGGGAGGGGAAAGGCTCCCCCCTACCTCTCCCCGCCACACACACAAACTACACGCATGTTAAAAAATAAGGAGCGTGGCCATTGAGGTTCCAGCACCATTGCCTTTAGGCCATGTTTGCCCTCCTCCTGGGCGTGTGCCAAGCCCACCTTGGCTGGCTGAGAGAACTGGGGCCTTTATTTTTAGTAAAAAATCTTTGGTCATCTTTTGGGCACATATAAATAGGTTTTTCACTTTTAAGCAAAGCTGTTCCAGTTCTAACTCAGCTGAACTACTTGCCTGCTAATACCAAACTCACCTTCCAGTGTAAAGTGGAGGCCTTCCAACACCCCTAGCTCCTGGTGCCTGTCCTGGCATTTGGGAGCCTGGAAAGAGCCTTTTTTAAAAGTTGAAGTATAAAAAGGACCGGGGACTCTGGAGCACGAAAGGACATTGGCCGCTAATAACAGGCGGCTCCGATGAAAACAAAGCCGCCGAAGGCAAGTGGAGAAAGAAGGAACGAGTGCCGAAACGAATCCAGAGCCAGAAAGACTAGCTGGAAATGTACAGGGAAAAACTTGAAAGTGTTTGATGAAAGCAAAAGGCAGTACAAGCGCTTGTCAGCGGGTCTCATGATGTAAAGCAAAGAGACCAGGAATAAATCATCTACTAAGCACATGACAGTGAAAAATTAAAGCCTCTGCTGGGAGAGGAGTCGAAGAAGAAAGAAAATAAACCCCAGATACAATGGAGAACGGCAGGGTGCCAAAGCTGAAGCCGAGCTGGGAAGAACAGCCTGGCCCTGAGCATAATTGGAATCCAGAGAAAGAGGGGGGAAAGGACAAACTGAAGCCTGGAAAAAAACACCCCAACGGACTGTATAAGCCTGAGTCGAGAGAAACCACAGACAACTAAGGCACTAGAGGAGAAACAAGAGGCGCTCTGGGAAGTGTGGACGTAGTTGAACTTTTGAACTGAAAGTAGCTGGGCCTCCATCCTTGGAGGATGGGACAGGGGAGAGAGAGACGTGCCACGCTTAAGAAGCCTACATTCGCCCAAGGAAAAATGGAGATTTCATGAGAGTGTAATTCTGAGCCAGGACTACTGCTGCTGAGCCAAGCAAGCCACCTACCCTAACCCTTCAAACTGTGCACAAAGCTAGTGACTGTGTTTGTATGACCATTGCCCCATCCTCCAGACCTCCCCTCTTGGTTGATTTCACTATTTGTCTTAGGCCTTGTCTACACTACGAGAGTAGTTCGATTTTACTTGCATCGAATTTTTGTAATCGATATTGCAAAGTCGAA